ATTAAGAGAACCCGGACACTTCTCACTGGTATAAGAAAGGTACCTTTAGGGCAAGACTTCATATATGTATGGCTCTATATGGTGACAGTTTAAATTCATTTGTGAAGAGAGAGCTTAAACTGAAAACACAATTGCTTGAAAAACTGTCTAGAAAGTATTTTAATCACTAAGGCATGCATTGGCTCTTGTAGCTATGACAGAAGGGAGCTGGGCTTCATCTAGATCTTGCAGAGGCTGAACTTGGCAGCATTGTATCCATGGAGCTAGTTTTGCAGGCATGTGAAATGCAACAGTGATGGGTTATCAAGTCTTGTGCCACGGTTCTTGAGAGGTGCTGTGGCCAGGTGATGTGTGACAATGTCACATTGCTTACAAGGAGGTTCTAAGACTCCATTCATTGCATGAAGCTGGGAAGGTGAAGTCTAATTTTAATGGAGACTTCAGGATGTTGGAGACACTGAGACCGTGAGATGTCTGCTGAGGAAAGCTGCAGGTTTCAATGACTCTATCACAAATGAGAAGCTACATGTGTTGCAGCCAGTGAACCTGGAGAGGGTCATTGGGTCCCAGATGATGCTGTCATAATCTCGATGCCAGATATCGAGGTGCAGGATTTGTTGTTTCCCCTGCTGGGTTTTTATTTTGCTTTGATCCTATCTTTCTTTGTTATTCTCTTGTTCCTTATTTTTGGAATGGTAATGTTTATCCTGGACCATTGTATATTGAAAGTAAGTCACTTATTTCTTTGAGATTTTTGTTAGAAGCTCAGTATTAAGAGACCACCTTGAGTCTCAGAAAATACTTTGTGCTTTTGAATAGTATTTAAGTCTATGAGGAATGAGGATGTTTACAAATGGGCTAAATTCACTTTTCATTACGAGCGGAAATTGATACTTTTGGGGTGAGAACATTGACAAGTGGAATTGTGATAATTAATCTTGGCTGTCAACTTGATTGGAGTTGGACTATCCATGGCAACGCACCTCTGGGTTTGCTTATAAAGCTGTTTCCAGTAAGGTTTAATGGAAGAGGGAAGATACCTCCTGAATGTGGGTGACACTACCCCATGAACTACAGTCACAGACTGAACAGTAAGAGAAAGTGAGCTGAACAGCAGCACGCATCTCTTTCTGCTTCCTATGAATGCAGTTTGACCAGTTGTGTCAGGCTTCTGTCACAATATATTTCCTACCACGGTGGACTGTAGCCTCAAACTAAACCAAAATAAAGCCTAGAGTCTTATTATCTTAAGCTTCTTTTTTTCAGGTATTTTGTCATAGCAATGAGAAAAATAATTAATAAATCTCATTTTCTCCTTCCTGTATCTCACAGTCTCCCTTCCCAATATCCCCCATTTCTCTCTCTCTCTCTGTTTAAAACTAGGCTCTACATATGAGAGAAAATAGGACAATCTTTCTTTCAATTCAATATCTTCTTTTGTTCTCCGTTCTCCTCATTCTCCTCTGTTTAGAATTGTCCATCTTCTCTTGAGCACCCCTTTCTATATCTGTGTTACATATAATATAAATATTTATACTTTGTATCTATATTCCACACAGGATGATAAATTGTACTTTTCTTCCTGAATTTGGCTTATTTAACTTAAAATGATAATCTCTGGTTCATTCATTTTCCTTCAAATAGAATTCTTGTCTATATATGCCATGTTTTCTTTACCTATTAATTGGTCCATAGACATTTAGTCTTGTTCCATATCTTGGTTCTTGTGAGTAGTGCAGCAATAAATATGGATATGCAAGTATCTCTGTAGTGTTCTTTGATAGTTTGGTTATATACCCAGGAATGGTATACCTGTATCATAAGGTAGTTTTATTTTTAGTGTTTTTGAGAAACCACCATACTGACATCTACAGTGCTGACACCAGTTCACATTCTCACCAGGAACATATAACACTTTTCTCTCTTCTGCATCCTCACTAGCATTCATTTACTTTCTTGATGATAGCCATTCTGGCTGGGGTGAAATGGAATCTCAAAACAGTTTTTAATTAAATTTTCTTGATGACTAATGATGTTGAACATTTAAAAAACATTTATTTACCATTTGTACTTTTGTTTGAGAACTGTACAATTTATTTGCCCATTTACTGATGACATGATTCTTTTGTCTGTTTAATTTTTGGAGTTCTTTATGGATTCTACATAACAATCCTCGATGAAATGTATGCCTTGCAAAGAGTTTCTCACAGTTTTAGGTCTTATTTTTCATTTGTTGAATGTTTTTTCTTTGCCTTTCAGAGGTTTAAATTTTTATTTAAAATTTTATGTTTATGAATGTTTTGCATGCATGGATGTAAGTGCACCACATGCATTCAGTGCCCTTGAGGGCCAGAAGAGGGTGCCAGATCCTGTGGAACTGGAGTTACAGATGGTTGTTAGTCACTATGTGGGTGCTGGGAAATGAACCCAGATCCTCTGCAAGAGCAGCCCATGCTTTTATGCAGAGCCATTTCTCCAGCAACTGCAGGATCTTTTTAAATTTCATACAATTCTATTTGCCAATTCTTAAGATTGTTTTTAAGCTTCGGAGTAGATAGTTCAGCAGTTAAGGATCTGCATTTGGTTCCTAATACTCACATCTGACATCTCAGAACTGCCTGTAAATCAAATTCCAGGGAATCCAACACTCTCTTTGGGCCTCTGGGGGCACTCACACAGACGTGCACACACATGCACATGAATTAAAAATTTTTTTAAAAAGAAATCTTTTCCTGTGCCTGTGTCTTGAAGTGTATTTTCCTAGCAATTTGGAGTTACTGGTGTCATATTAAAGTGTTTGATCAAGGTTAAGTCGTTTTTTGTGTAAGATGAGAGACAGGGATCTCGTTTCATTCTTCTGTAAGTGGATACTCAGTTTCCACAGCACCATTTGTTTAAGAGGCTGTCTTTTCTCCAAAGCATGCTTTTGACAGCTTTATAAAAAATTAGGTGGCTCTATCTGTGTGGCTTTGTTTCTACATCTGCTTTTCTATCTCATTGCTCAATATGAATGTTTTAAATCCCAGTACTGTACTGTTTTTATTTCTATGGCTCTGTACTATATTTCGAGGCCAGCTATTATGATACTTCTACCATCGCTCTTTCTGATTAGGATTGCTTTGGCTATTTGTTTTTTTTTGTGAAAGCTGTTTAATGTAGTACCTGTGTAACTTTGGATAGTTATTTCAGTCTTCTCACCTGCAAAGATGAAACTAATTTGTCCATTCTGGTGAGATTTCCAGTCAAGACTAAATCACATGCAAAAAGACCTGACACAGACTGCATTAACTATTGTTTTCTTTCCATTCCTTGTAAGGCTGAAGATTTATGTTACAGGCCTCACTTAGCTACTTACTAGTTATGTTAACTCAGATCAGGTCACTTACACTTGAGCTTCAGTTTTATAATTTGTTAGATAAAGTTTCTATGAGGATTGCACAGGATACTATAGAAAAAATGTACTTCCAGAAAGCCTGCTAATCCACTCCTGCATATACTAATCTCAGTGTGAGCGTTCAATACTTCCCATGAGCTATGCAAAGGAAGGGGGGCATAATGCAAGATCCTTACCCTTAAAGATAATGGACAATCTAATCTAAAACTTGCTAGGGGTTCAACAGGATGGTTCAGTAGGGTTAAAGTGATAATTGTGCAAACCTGGTGACCTGAATTCGATCCTCAGAGTCCACAGTGTAGAGAACTGAGTTCTGAAGTGGTCCTCTGAAGTGGTTGACATGCTATTGCACATGCATGTCAACATTCACACACATCATATATATATATATATATATATACACACACATACACATTACACACACTAGTAGTAAATAAAAAATTGCTAGACTAAAGCTTTTTAGTTTATTCTTACTGCCTACTAGCTAAGGATCTCAAGTTTATATTAAACAATGAAATAAAATACCCTGTAATGGAAATGAGAACAAAGTATCAATATGGTATTAGTTTCAATATCAATATGGTATTATCAATATGGTACTAATTTCCCATTGTTACGATGCCACGTTACTACGTGTGAAGATCAGAAATCTAAAATCAAGGCTACATTCTTTCTTCAGATTTCAGATGATAATCTGTTTCCTTGCATTTTTCAGCTTATAACCGTGACCCACATTCCTTGGCTCGTTCCTTCTTTCTTATACTCTCGTTTGTCATTCTGTAGCATCTATGACTACTTATTCTGATCCTGCTGCCTTACTCTAAGAATAACTCTTGTGATTATATTTGGCTCATTTTAATAATCCAACGTAATACTCTCCATCTAAAAATCCTTAATTTAAATACACTTGCAAAGTATATTTTATGTTTTAAGATAAAGGACTTGTAGGCTTCAGAGATTAGCATGTGGACATCTTTAGGGGGGCATGTAGCCTACCATGGACACTACAACTCATAAACAATCACTGAGTTTAGAAAAAAACATGTAGCTGTTTCCGGGGGTTGGTATATCTTGAAGGGTATGAAGATGAGGAAAGTATTACTTCTAGGTTGGGAAACAATATGAACACAGTAGGTATACGAATCAGCATAATTTATATGGCAACCTTCAAAGAGATTGCTTAAAATAATGCAATCAAACAGCAGGAGAAAAGGCCACATCACAGAGGCCTTAAAGGCAGAAAGAAAGATTCAAACATCGTATAATAATAATTAGGAGTTACAGAATGTTCTTAAGCAAACTTCCAAGTGACAATAAAAAGCAGCAGTTTTTAGGATGATTAATCTCAGTTTGGGACATCAGAACTAAAAGATTTTGTCTTCGATGAAGCATTACTGAGGCCTAAGCTGTCTTCAAAACCAATTGAAGACAGATTGTTAGCAATTTCAAAGGAGAAACTAAAGGCAAGGGGAAGATCATTCTACACTCTGTTCACCTATAAGAATGCAAGATACAAACAACTGAGGAGCTCTTAGAGTACTTTGCAATGGAAGATTATTTCCATGAACTTGGTGTTTTAAAGAGAAGGAAAAACCACCAGGCTTACCTCATTGCCACATTACTTCCATCAATAACAACTGGTCTTAAATTATCACTATTGTCTATTTCATCTTCAAGAGACAATTCAGGGCTTGCGATCTCTCTGGAGCTAGCCCCACGGGGCACTAACAGATTCAAGCTGACTTGCCCTTCTGAGTCACCTTTGTTTCCAAGTCTGACAAGTTCAGCCAATACATCATTAATAAGTGATTCTGGGCCTAGTTTATTAAGCACTGATTGAATCTGTTGTTCAGCATAGCCCAGCTTTAGAGCAAAGTCCATCTTGGCCTGATATTCCTTCTCCAAGTCTAACTTCCCATCCTGTAAAATGCTGCTCTGGGAGAAGCTTGGACGATCCAGGCAGGGTGACCTACAGAGCTGGCGATGTGGCTTGGAAGGGATCTCCTTTTTCTTCAACGAAGCATTTCCTGTTTGACAGTTGTTGTTGCCACTCTTAAGGCTTGTCTGTTCAGGGTCGCTCTCAGAGCTCATCCATTCTTCAGACTCAACATTTCCGTGGTCTGCACTGTCCTGTTTTGGCTGCTGCTTCTCTTCCTTGGAGGCACTTTTCTCCATTTTTGGTGTTTCCACTGCAGCTGTGGCCGTCATCCCGTTCAGTGTGTACTCTGAGACCTAATCAGGTATTTTTCTTTTTAGCCTGCTTGGAATCCATGTACAGTGACATTCCTCTGTAGTAAAATGTTGTGGTAGCAGTGGTACAAGAGTTTGTCCTCTTGGATTTATATGTTCAGATGTTACCAGTCTCTATAAATAAACAAACATGGAATAATTATATTTACTGAACTTCTGGGGAAAATCTTAGAATGCAGACATTTTCCCTAAGAAATTATAAAGTATCACCACCTCAAACCATAGCTGAAGCTATTATAACAGAATTTGAGAAAGGGAAATTACATTCCAACAAGGTGTAGGGGAGGGAGGGAGAGAGAGAGAGAGAGAGAGAGAGAGAGAGAGAGAGAGAGAGAGAGCCCTATCTCCTTGGCAGGATTCTCTTCCATTTTGCTAGGAAAGTGTTTGTAGACCTCTCACCAGATCCTTGTGATTAAGGTTGCGATCTACTCCTGACAAGCATATGTTCTCAAACATCATGAATTCTTTTGTTTCTTTCATTCATACCACCTTAAGAATGTTTAATTTTATGTGTGTTTACATATTCTTTTGTTTAATGCTGATTCACATGTTAAACTCCTTGAAGTGCGTACATACTGTGGAATATATGGTTAAAGTTTCAGAGGAAACATGTTTTTCATAGAAAATTTGAACCTAGTATAAGTCCAATTGTCAGGATGGTATTGGCCGTATCTCTTTTTTCCTTTGTCCCAAGTTTGGACATCGTAGCTCAATCATACATTGTTAATGTAGCATATGAAGCTACATGTTGCAAAATGCAAAATGTCAGGTATCTTATCTACTAGGGAAACTGGATAAAAATTAAAATTGCTTTCAGACAACTGAAGTATACTGTAAGATAAACACAAAGAAAGGCATATTCTAGGTGTGGAGAGGTGGTGTGTGTGTGTGTGTGTGTGTGTGTGTGTGTGTGTATGTGTGTGTGTGTGTATGTACTCCTGAATATATCTGAATATATTTGCTATTTCCTTTTCTTTTTGTCATGGGTAAACAGAAGGAGCAAATCATCTGTGCATGGTGATTCATACCTTTAGTTCCATTAACTTAGGAGGCTGAGGCAGGGGGTTCCTTTGAGCCCTGGGAGAGATATCCCTCTCCCTGGGCAAGAGAGCAAGATCCTGTAATTTAAAAAAAGGAGGAAATCAACATAACTTATTTGATGAACAACTGAAAATATTGATTACAGAAGCGAATCAGGATCAATCTTATTTCTAACTTTTTTTTCTCTCTCACACACCTCATCTGTTCTGGCAGGTTTAAATTCTAGTTTTTCCTTCTTGGAATTTCAGTTTTTCTCATGAGTGCAGCGAAGATATTGATTGGTACCTCATAGAGTACTTGTAAAGGATTACATAAAATGAGTGATGAAAGTGCTTAGAAAAGTGAATAGAGCATGATAAGTTCTCAATATAGATAAAGGAAGCACTAGGCTCCATGGTGCAATGGATTTTTCTTTTGGGATAGGGTCTCACACTGTAGCTCAAGTTGGCCTTAAACTCATGGAAATCCTCTTAGGCTTCTGAGTGTTGGAATTATAGATGGGAACTATGATGTTCATATATAACTATTTTGTTTATTTTATTTATTTTACTTTTGAGACAGGGCCTCACCGTTTAGCTAAGATTGCACTGGAACTCAGAGATACACCTGCCTCTGCCTCCTGAGTGTTGGGATTAAAGGCGTGTGCTACCACAACTGGGGTATTTAATTTTTAAGGTCTGTAAGTGAAGCAAGGCTTTCAACCTGTGAGTGCTGTCAAACTTTTCAGGCATCATATGCGCTCACTAATATAAAACAAGGTGCCTGTAACCAATATACCAGGGGTTTCCAATTCCACATCAATTCTATTTATATAAGCATAAAGAAAAGCCACAAATAGTTCTAACAGTGGTTATGGATGACTGTATGTTTACTTTAGGAATTTTATTTGAAAGCAATCATACAGAAATGACATTTCAGAACTGACATTAAGGTAGTATGGCTTCTTCAACAATTACACTATTACCTTTGACTACAAAAAATTCAGTTTCCGCAGTGCTGGGGATTGAACTCGGGGAGTGATTGAGGTACCTCTTAGCCCAAAGTCACATTCTTCAACAAGGTGTGGCCAGGGGTTCTTAAGCATCTCCCAGGGAAATTTTAAGATGTATAAACTTTTACTTTTCATTTTTATGTGTATGAGTGTATTGCCTGCATGTATGTAAGTGCACCCATGTCATGCAATGCCCACAAAAGTCAGAAGAGGGCATTGGATTCCCCTGGAACTGGAGTTATAGATGGTTGTTAGCTGCCATGTGGGTGCTGGGAATCAAACCCAGGTTCTCTGCAAAAGCAGCTAGTGCCCTTAACCTCTGAGCCATCTCAGGGAATTTTAAAATTTAAATGCACATGCATCCCAATCGACCTGAGATCATCAGAAAATGGATATCTCATCTTTTTTTATTATTTTTATTTTATGTGCATGTGTGTATAGCCTGCATGTAGGTAAGTACACCCATGTCACGCAATGCCGCGGAGGTCAGAAGAAGCTGTCAGATCCCCTGGGACTAGAATTACAGACAGTTGTTAGCTGCCATGTGGGTGCTGGGATTTAAACCCAGGTCTTCTGCAAGAACAACCAGTGTTCTTAACCGCTGAGCCATCTTTTCAGCCCCCATCTTCATTTTTATAATTAATTTATTGTGGTTAAAAATAATAACATAGGAGCAGATGAGATGGCTCAGTTAGCAAAGGTACTTGCTGTACAAGCTTAGTGACCTGAGATTGATCCCCAGAATATCCACATAAGTGTAGGAGGAGAGAACTGACTTCACAAAGTTGTCCTCTGGCTTCCACATACGCACTGTGGCACATGAGCATGTGTGTGCACACACACACGCACACATCAGGCACACTCTCACACAATAATAATGAATAAACATTGAGGCTGGAGAGATGACTCAGTAAGGGTGCTTGGTCTTCTTTCAGAGTGTGGTGATTGGAATGAGAAATGTCCCCCATAGGCTCTAGTATTTGAACAATTGAGCTCCAGTTAGTGGTATTGCTAGAGGAAGTTATGGAATCTTTGGGAGATGGAGCCTTAATGGAGGAAGTATGTCACTTGGGGTGGGCATTGAGAGCCTATAGCACTGCTCACTTCTAGCTCATACTGTTTCCTGGTGTACAATGAAATGTGATCAGCCAGCTTCCTGCTCTGGCCAACTGCTGCCAGGTCTCCCTTGCCATTATGGACTCTCCTGGAACTGTAAACCTAAATAAAATCTTTTTTTCTATAAAAAATTCTTTTTTTGCCATGTGAGCATAAGCATTTGGGAGTTTGAGATGGGATAACTGTCTTGAGTTAGAGGCCAACTTGGTCTATCCAATAAGTTCCAATGTTTGCCTGGGATACAGTGTGAGACCCTGTCTCAATGTTTTTCTTCCAATAGCCAGGAGTGGTGGCACACACCTGTAATCTCAGCACTTGGGAGAATAAGACAAGAGAATCATGATTTTGAAGTGACCTGGGCCACATAGTGTTACCCTGTCTCAAAACAAATGACTTTTGTATATATTATATATCTCCACATATATGTATAATTGCAGTTTGCTCATATTTGCCCCCTATGTCATATTACCTTGTCCTCTATCTACACAACTCTCTTTGGTCCCTTTCCTCCCCCACATAATCCTACTTTTTGTATACGTACATATTGAGGCAGGATCTCATGTAACCTAGGCTGGTCTTGATATATAGCTGAGGCTGTCCTTGAACTTTTCTCTCTCTGTCCCCATATTTCAAGTGCTGGAATTACAACTATGCACCACCACACTGGTTATAAACATATTTAAATCTAGATTTCACATATAAGAGAAAATGGGAAGTATTTGCCTTTCCTTCCTTCTATTCCCCCACCATTACGCCCTTTGCTCCCCCTGTATAGTACCTGTTCTACATTTTTTTAAAGAAAGGGTTTCCTGTAGCTCTAGTTGGTGTGGCGTTTACTATGTAGACCAGGCTGACCTCCATCTCACAGAGATCTGCCTGTCTCTGGCTCCTGAATGCTGGGATTAAAGGAGTGCAGCATCATGCCTGGATTCACTCTCTTTTTATGTCATGCATATGTATGTATAAGTCTAGAGTCCATATATAAAAGGTAACATTGTATTTGTGTTTCTGAATCATATTTGTCTTTCTGAATCTGACTATTAACATGATAATCTCCAGTTATATCCATTTCCCTACTCATGGAATAATTTAATTCTTTACAACTAAATCAAACTCCAATATGTTTGTATATATGTATATCACATTTTCTTTTTCCATTTGTTTGCCAATGGTCATCTAGGGTGGTTCCATGTCTAGACTATTTTGATTAATGATTAATCTTTCAATAAACACTAATATGAAGTTTATCTTTGTGGTGTATAGTTTCACAAGTTTGTAGAGCTACTTCAGTAACTTTTTAAAACTATTTTTTAAGTTTTTTGACTGTAGGTTTGAAGATTTGTCTTTCTGATCCTAGGGCTTAACATTGTCTGACACCATTCTTCTGACTGAAAAGACACCCCTGCTATTTTTTTTCTTCTTTTAACCATAAAAGAATGAATTTATATTGAAACAAAATTCATTCAGTTTGCATTTACATAGAACAATTTTATAAGATGTACTTGGGTTCATCTTTTCCAAAATATGCCAAACAATACCCAATAAAGACAGAACCATCTTGCCGTATTATTAAGATAAAAATATTGGAAATGCTCAAAAAAGTCCAATAATCATATATGACAGAGCTACCCAGAAATAAACAAATAGTAGTGTTGATTATCTGTTAGTGGCTAAGCCATTTGATTATTGTGTACTGGGAATGCATATTAGTTCATAATCTTCAAAATAAAACTTAAAAGAGTTTGAGCCAAATTGCCCTGCATGGGTGAGCAAAGCTCCTCCCGGAAGACATGGGTTATTAAATGAGAATATATATTGTAGGTACTGGTTACCTCCCTACAAGTTATTGGTCAGGGAGGCCCAGAGTCATACAAAACACAGACTATTGCATTACTCTTGATTGCCCACCAAGGCTAGATGGTCAGACATTATTGCTGAAGACACAACACACTTCTGTTGCAGGGTATAGAGAAATCAAACTGAAACTGAAATGTATTAATTTAAGTGAAGTAACACATGCTCAGAAAACCAAAAATTGTATTTTCTTTCTCCTATGTATATCTTATTTTCTTATTTTTATATATGCATATTTATGTGGCAGTGAGTGTGTGTAGAGTCCAGGGAACTAGGAAAGGGTCCATGGGGATGGGGGGAGGGAGAGGTTTTAAGGGAGGAGGATAGAAGTACATATGTGATATGAAAGTAAAAGGGGGAAATATTTGTAGTGTAAAGGTTGAAATGAGGACTGGGCACAGAGAGAACATGAAGAGGGGTAGGGAGTAGTTTAATCCAAGTCCAAGATGTAGGAAAGCATAAGTAAACTTGTTACTTTGTAAGGTAATCAAAAGTACAATTTCAAACATGACAAAATCAGTGGAATGTGCTATGAAGTTATAATTTGTTTGGCTAAATGTGGGAATAGTATGAATGAGATAAAGGAAGGGCGTAGGGAAACATGAACAAGATTAAATATAAAAAAAAAAGGAGTGGAAAAGAATGTTATGGAATGGAAGATAAATTAGCAAGATATTATTTAAAAATTTAATAATGAAAGATTTGAATTCCAAATTAAATAAACATAAATGGGAACAAAAAGGAAGATAGAAATTGCTTTTAAAAAATGAACAATAAAAATAATAAAAAATATTAAATAAAAGTGAACAATAGGTGCTAGAGACATGGCTTAGAGTTTAAGAACACTGATTGCTCTTGTGTAAGACTCAGGTTCAAATACTAGTGCTCACATGATGACTAACAACCATCCAGTTTCAGGGGATCTGACTGTCTCTTCTGACCTCTGTGGGTACTGCATGACATGGGTGAACGTACATACATGGAGGCAATACACACATACACCTAAAATAATAAGAAACAAAATATTTTAAAGAAGTGAACAATAACCGCAAAATACTACTAAAAGTAGAGTAGAAATAGGTGAATAAAAAAAGAAAAAAGAAATGAAAAGAAAAA